CAACGGAGGACCTGATACAAGTTTTGGAGGATGTCCGACTTAGCTATATATTATCCCGATTCCGTAGTTTGGATACTTCACATGAATGGTCTAGTGTTCTCTCCCTTGGAGAGCAGCAACGCCTTGCATTTGCACGTTTACTGCTTTCGAAACCACAATTAGTTATACTGGATGAATCTACCAGTGCTTTAGATGAAGCCAACGAGGTATTACCACGCTTTTTCCTTAAGGTTCATTTGTTTATCTTCCTAGTCCTTCCCACATGTATTGTACCTTTCAGTTCAGAGCATCTTTAGGAATTGTCCCTAACACATCTAGTCAAACTTCGCGCTATGCACACAAACACCTGAAACGAATAATCTAGTCTATAATCTGTTGATACGCATAAGCTAATGAACTTGTTCCAAGTCTTTTCGAAGTGTTGGTTTTGTACCACTCATTCGATATCATATGCACAGGATGTCCACCTCCTTCAATTTTTTCCCATGAGGCCTAGAAGCATAGTTGTTGAATCACTATGAAGATAACATGATATAAGTCGTAATGATGATCTCCCGGTCGTGCTTCTGTTGGCAGGTTCATTTATATCAGCAGATTGAAAAGGCAGGCATAACATATATAAGCGTTGGCCACCGGCAAACTCTATACGACTTCCACAAGAAGAACTTACGGATCTCCACCAAGGAACCCAGCAGCACCGAACCCAATTGGAGCAATGAATCCATCAATCGAGAAACAGTATAAAACTCATGAAACCAATAATTGTAGCTGCCTTTTCTTACATTAGGTCACTTGTTTGTTCTGTTTCTGTGGTGTGGTGCAAGTGTTTTCCGGTACTCTGTAGCTTATGTAATTTCTGCAAAACTTTCTAGGGTTTATAAGTTTATATATGATCAGATTCTATACAAAACTTTCCACTTTATGTCACTTATAAACTATTCAAACATGACATGCAAGCCGTTTGCCTTCAGTTTGTGCAGCAGTTTATAGCTCTTCCAGACAGGCACGTTGTACACTTCGCAAAAGTGAAGTGACTTCCGTGGATCCCTTTTCTTCACTATGTTTATTTTTGGTGTTTGAATTGAATTAAGTGTGCGGAAATTATTTTCCCTTGCAAAATGATTTTCAATAGATGCTTGCACCCAAGAATCAATACGTGCAAACAACTCTATGATTATGGTGTTGAAGTTAGGGTTTGGGACATTTATTTTGCAAGCAATAACAATTCTATACGAAAGGAGACTACAATGAGGGAAAGATTTGAACTCGAAACAATGAAATCTCCAATGTTAGATCGGAATTTGATTTGCTTGTCATAATCCATGGTTTTAGGGTGAATTCGGCCAATAAGTTCGTGAAGAAATTGTAGCAGCATGAATTATGAGCTCTTCAGTGACTGTAATTATTGATCAATGAATGAAACTTTTTTCTAAGGCTTGCAAAATTCTCGTTGTTGTCCTCTAAAGCTACACCTTTCGTTTTGTAATCCATTTTTTGTGACAGTCTCGTACGTACCCTCCTACGATCAGGTTTCGCTTCATCATCAAATTGATTCGTGAACAGTTGCTCTGATGAGAATTATCAGCCTCTGTCGACAATTTCAATTGAACTCATCCACTATGTGAAGGAGGGAAAGATAAAGTTCAAGACTTTGTAGGCTAATCTATGAAACACAAAAAATGACACCTCTTACAAATTCACAAGACTCTGTATTTTAATTCCTTCAACAGTAAGTTAAGCACACTTGGTGCGAGAGCTACCACCTAAATCTCGTGTTAATTTTCTTCATTTTTAACGTATTACTTGAGGTTTGTGCCTGGGCTACATGTGGGCCCAATTGTGCCGGACTACTCAATCGGGCAAGACTTTGAGAGATTTTTCAGTATAACCAGTACATGGGGTGATATATCACGTGTCATTAAACAAATTGTGCGATATGTGTGCTAAAAAGTTAATAACTTCAAAAATAAAATTTCCCACCATTCGTATTCAAACACACGTTGTACCATTTGTATTCCTATCACAACTAAAAATTTCTCCAAGACTTGCTCGACCTTGCACCAGAGTGGTCTGACGTCATGCCACGTCCAAAACCCAGACACTGCAGCTTCTTCTTCTCAGGCTTGTGTGTGCTCTTCTCAGCAACCCAACATATCAATGGAGCTAAACTACAGCTGCCCAGAACCCAAAATCCACCAATTACCCACTCATTCTCTCAACATCTCAGTGCAAAAGTAACATTTGCAAGCCCAAAATTACATCCTGGGCAATGCTTTCAACTCCATCGGAAGATACTCAAGCTTCAAGAACCTATCTTTTTGTGGAAATAGAGAGGAGAGAGAGAGAGAGAGTGGTGAGAGAGAAACTTTCCGGCAGGTTGATGAATTATTGGAGGTAGAAACTGAGAATTCGAGAGACAGTAAAAGAGTGTCTTCAATTGAGAGTTCGAAAATTTTCATTCTTTTCAAGCAAAATTAATGAAAAAATTTTGAAAACTTTAAGTTTTAATGATACGGAAAAAATAAAAGGTAAAATGAATAGTAACATGATTGACTTTTTAGTGTAAAAATATGATTTTTCGTTAAAATAAACAGTACTGTGCACTTTTCGTTAAAACTTCATTCTTTTAATTCATATTAAGGGTAGTATGTAAATACACCAAATAAGAATGGTTTAAGTTTGTTATGCTTTGGTTAGTACAGTTGAGAGAGTTAGATAATATAAGATTTGTTAATAAGCAAAGTGTATTGTGTATATACACCTACCCTCAATGTAATTTTATTACACAATGACATGAATCTTGAGCTTTATTCGAATTAAAATTCTTAGAAATTCAAGTGTATTTAATTAGAATTTTAAAGAAGTTTATAAAATCTTAGGTGTTTTAAGTAGGAATTTTTCAAAGAATTTTAAAAAGTTGAGGAATTTGAGAGATTTTGTAGTGTATTTTTAGTATTCACCGATCTCATCTCTTCCCTTGAGATATCTATGGAATTGAATCAAAATTTGACTTGAAATCTCTACAAATCAATTAAACTATAAAAACAAAACAAAACACATGAAAGGGGAAAGGTGGGGTTTTTTTGGAGATTAGCGGCAAGAATGAGTACAAATACGCACTGTGTCAACATGCTAATAAGGACGACTATATATTGAAGCACCATGAAAATAATAAAGAGTCCTTATACAAATTCGGAAGAGAAAAGCAATACCTTGAGGAATGGAGGAAGACTGTTCTTCTTTTGTTTGAGAGAGGAAGATTGTTCCTCTTCTATATGATGAACGTGAAAAGAAATCAAAGGAGGTAGAGTTGGATTCTTGATGGCATTTAGTATTTATACCACACATCCTTAAATCTATCAAAATTGATCATTCATTAAAAACCTAATAAATGTTTGGTATTCTCACCATTCGTAGAATTGGGTGAATTTTTTAAAAAACGTAATTAACTACCCATAAATTTGAATGTATTTTTTAAAATCCTCTTAAATTTCAGTCGTAAGCAATAGGAGAAATACTTATCTAGTTCGTATACCGGTGAATCAACACTCACTCACACACCTTTTGCCCTTTCCACTATTTTTCTTTATATTTTTATGCCTCAATTTCGTAAAGGGTCAGTTAAACTCGTTGAATCTGCCATGGAAATGGTTGGTTTGTCAACAAAGTTGCAAATTGACTTGAGCTATGAAAATATTCCATTTCAAATCAAACCCAGAAGTTTGGTACCCAATTCAATCGACAAAGTAAGATCAAAATCAAAACCCATAATCTATAACGTAAGAACATATTGACCCACTGGTAAAAAATCAAAACCAAAGAAGAAGAATTTGATTTGCACCTGAAATCCAATTGAATCACTCGTCCATGCCCCGAAATTGAATTTGAATCAAAACCAATCATTCTTCAGGGAGACAAAAAATGGATAAAAAATTAAAAAGTGCGAGCAGATTTTAGCGGGCTCAAAGGGAGAAATTTTTTTTCCTGTTGTTATCTAAATAAAAATAAAAACAATCTAAAGATAAATGAAAAGAAAAAACTATGCAAATCCATCAAAATCCACAAATAAAATCTATACAAATTCATAAAAATCTATATAAATCAGTCAAAATCTATATAGAATTGTAACTCCATTAAAATCTTTTGAAATCTATCACTTAAAAAAATCTATTAAAATCATTTGAAATTCAAATTGACTACACCCCTTAACTATCTATGATTTCAAACTCCTTTAAAATCCTTTTTTTTAATATTAATTGACTAAATCCGAATTTTAAAGTTTACCAAAATCCTACTAAATTCTAATTTAACTACACCTCTAAAATCTCTCAAAATCTCAATTGAATATATCCTTCTAAGATAGAGAGCAGAGAAATAGAGGGAGGAGTGGACAAGGTCAACAGAGATTGACGGAGAAAGAACCTGGCTTCTCTGCCCTCCCAATTCCCATACACTCTCATTTTCTCCTATTTGTACGGCCACGGTTAAACTATGTCAACATTTTATATCACTATTATTTTTTGTCTTATTATCTCTATAAAAAATTAATATAAAATGTTGACGTAGCTTAATCGTGATCGTACAAAATAAGAAGGGATAAAAGTGTATAAGAACTAAGAGGGCAGAGAAGCCGGGTCCACAAAGAAAATGGGAAGAAGATGGTGAGGTCCATAAAAAGTCATTAGATACAGACAGAGAAAATATAAGATAATATTATTTTATATTATATTTTATCTATTTTTGTTAATATAAAATAATAATCGTTTAATATCAATTGCTCGGACAATTTAATATTATTGTATATCATATTTTATCTATTTTTGTTAATTTAAAAGAATAATTTTTTAACATCAATTGATCGGACAATTTATTTTACGGAGGGGAAATGCACCCGGACAAATTACCGTTAGCGGTGTAATTGGTTCATTCGTACGACGAAAACTGCCGAAAAGAATAATTCACATTTTCAGAGAATCTGCACTGCGGTCTGCCGTCAGCGGTGGCGCTGAATGATTGGTTCATTGTTACGACGAAAACTGCCGAAAAGAATAATTCATATTTTCAGAGAATCCATCTGCAGGAAAACACTCATTTGACATGTTGCAATGCTAAACAAACTGTCACACAAGGACTTGTTTGGACGGAAGGAAAATCCCAGGGAAAATCAGTTCAATCACCGGAGAATTGAACAAAAAGAGAAGACAAATGGAAAAAATGATAATGCAGGCATACTCTGTCTCATTCTCCTCCTCCTCCGCCTATAACTCCCCCAACTACCGCCATTGCCGCCACAATGGAGTGAGAGTAATTGTCGGAGTCGAAAGAGGAGCAACACCTCAAATGCTCATTGGCTCATCTTCTCCACATCTCCGTCATTGTCCACCATGTCCACCACCACTAGAAGCGGCTGCAATTGGATGGCGAGGAGGAGAGAGAGAACCAAAGACGTCGAATCATCACCTGGGCGCTGTGCAGCTGCCTCGGGCGCTGCATTGCCGCCGCCAGTTCCGCCAAATACAGAAAAGGTCCGCTCTCTCTCTTTACTTTTTTCTCTTTGATTTGATTATCTTTCTTCTTCTTCTTCTTCTTCCTAATGAGCTGGTCGCATTATTGCAGCAAAGGGAGGTGCCTAAACTCCGGCCGCTTCTCCGAAGATTATGGAAGGTGGCGGCTCCCTATTGGTCCTCCGAAGACAAGGTGCAAGCGAGGATCCGGCTCGCCATAGTCTTCGCTCTCACTCTCGCCACCACCGGCATCAGCGTCGGCTTCAATTTCCTCGGCCGCGACTTCTATAACGCCCTTTCCGGTCTCTCTCTAATTTGTTAATCTTTTTGGTAATTAATTAAGTTAATTCTTTTGCTGAAATTTGTTTCCGCTTTGCTTCCGTAATTGGATTTTGATGATAATTTGAAGACAAGAACCAAAAACAATTCACGAAGCAGCTGCTTTACTACTTAGCTGCATTTGCTGGTGGAATTCCGGTGAGTACTTCCTCTGCTTAGTTTTTTTTCCCCTTTTTTCGGGTCCTCGCCTTCATCCTTCTGTAATCACAAGAAAGGAAAATACAAAAAGGCAGTTGCTAAGATTTTGTCCAAAAGAAGACTACAAAAGAACAATGAATGACTGAAACTAATGCCAGAGGTTTATGCCAGTGAACTGCAACCCACAGTGGAAAAAACTTAAAATTTGCTCGACGAGTATTAGCTTTTCGGGTATTCTGTTCACAAGTTTCCACTTCTTTGCAATTTGATCATCGCCAATGGGTTCATATTCGTATGATTGTTGTTGATTCGTTTGCCTACACAGTTATGTAGACATGGGAACAATGACCTGGTCTTACTGATATATTTGTTTCCTGTGTTAACGACTTTTTGTGCAGATTTTTGTGTTGCGATATTATGCAAGACAAACTCTTTCTTTGAGGTGGAGAGCTTGGATGACAAAACATTACATGGACCGTTACCTAAGCAACCAAGCCTTCTATAAAATTCAATCCCAATCAATGATCGATAATCCAGATCAGCGCATTGTTGATGATCTAAATTCGTTCACAGGGACTGCCCTATCCTTTACTGTAACAATTTTCGATGCCGTGATAGATCTCATCTCGTTCAGTAACATCTTATTCAGTATCTATCCTCCGCTGTTTGCTGTTCTATTTGTATATTCAATTGGTGGAACAGCCATAAGTATCTATCTTGGAAAGGTAACTCTACCTCTGTTTAACCAATAAGTATTTCCCATGTTGTATGCAATTGAAACTCAGTTTAATGAAAACGTTGTACCCGTGTTTTCAGAATTTGGTTTCTTTAAACTTCATGCAAGAGAAAAAGGAAGCTGATTTTCGTTACGGACTTGTGCGCGTCAGAGAAAATGCTGAATCCATTGCTTTCTATAGCGGTGAAGCAAATGAAATGCAACTTTTGCTACAACGCTTCACAAGTGCTTTCAAAAATATGAGTGTATGAATAACTTTATCTTCTTCTGTTTTCACTTCTCTGCATGCAGTTATGCTTAAGACTTGCTGTTTTTTCTAAAGTTACCTTTGGTACGCAGATGCCCGCGAGGTTTGATCTAGAGCATGATGTTCTGTTTGCATTTAATATTTTTACTGATTCAAAATTACTATGCATGTAGATTGTTATGCCATGCACATCCAACTGATTGTGTTTTACTCATATTCCAACCTTGCAGAAATTGTTGATATGTTCAAGAAATGTCGACTTTTTCACCAGTTGGTACATCTATCTTGTTCAGATTCTTCCCGCTGCTGTTGTTGCCCCTATGTATTTCTCAGGCAAAATTGGGTTTGGTGTCATTAATCAGTCCACATCTGCTTTCAATCATATTCTTGATGATTTCTCCCTTATTGTCTACGAAATTCAGGCTATCAGTGCATTTGCAGCTGTAATTAATCGACTTGGTATTGTCTCTGTATCTTTATTTATATATTTGCTATAACGAGGATCTGTTACGTAACTTTGATTTGACCAGATAGAACTTCATAACGAAGCTTTCTAATTTGCGTGATATAACGGGGTCTTAAGATTGAATGAATATGGATTACAGTCTCACTAGAACGACACGGACAAAATAATGGCACGTTTTCTTATCGATATTTTAATTTCTATTCAGTCAGATAGTTACCGACATCATTTGCCCACATCGTGTAACTTTTTGTACTTGTTGAGGCCATTTGAAGCCATCTTCAATAATATTTGTTATGACTAGGGATGCAAAAACTACTAGAATGTGACCAAAATTTCAACTCAACGTTTCTATTCTTCACCATAAGCTTTTATGTTGCACTTACCACTTTTTTAAAACAAATCTTTTATACTTGAAGTTATGAGGTTAACTCTTCAAGTTAATTAGATTTATTTTATTGTCTACAGATTCATAATAATGTGTTCATGTCATTTTGTCTGACCCTGTTAATATTTTTATCTATGATGTTCAATATGGCAATGCTCTCTTATGTCTCCGTTCAAGGAGATCTTTAATGGCATAGATGTATGTTAAATTTGAATACTTATTTGCCTAGTGATATCCGAAACATACAGGTGAATTTGACGATCTGTTGGATAGGAGCAAGTCGGAATGCCATTCTGACCCCTCAGAAGGGATAAGTTTAATATATAGTAACGTCAAAAGTTTACCGGAACCGGAGTCAAATGGATCCATTCCCATAGAAAAGCAACAAAAGTTGGTGGATATAGAACACTTGACTGTGGAGACTCCAAGTGGTACTGCATTGGTTAGGAATCTATCGTTGGTAATCAACAAGAACGAGCATTTATTGGTTAGTAACTCCATTGTTCTATTGAATTTATCATTAGTTTAGTAAGTATATCTTGACTGGGAGCTGAAGAACTTTTCCCGTATATGATCATTTGAACAGGTAACAGGACCAAGTGGGAGCGGTAAAACATCTTTGTTAAGAGCTATGTGCGGTCTTTGGAGTACTGGAAAAGGAAAAATCATATTCTATGTGAAGGACGGAGAGGATAATCAACCGTCCATTTCTTCTGGTGCAGTAGTTCTTGAGGTAGATACTGGTAGTGATAAATGTGGGGAACTTGGAAGGCCCTCAAATAGGAATTATGAAGGCATATTCTTCCTTCCCCAAAAACCATATATGGTATTGGGAACACTGCGCCAACAGTTGCTTTATCCTACATGGGCTGAGGATGCGATTTCCACAGCAGACGGTACTAAACCAACTGGTATGTACTTCAACTCCTTTTGCCACATGGTATTGCGCTGACGGCTGAGGAAGCCATAATCAGCAGTGACAATTGTTTTGTAATTCTCGCAGGGTCACTTCCTTTCTTGAAGCAGGCACCAAAATCAGAACATACGAGTGAAAAACCTAGCAAGCCCACAACGGAGGACCTGATACAGGTTTTGGAGGATGTCCGACTTGGCAATTTATTATCCCGATTCAGCAGTTTGGATACTTCAAATGACTGGTCTTGTGTTCTCTCCCTTGGAGAGCAGCAACGCCTTGCTTTTGCGCGCTTACTGCTCTCCAAACCAAAATTGGTTCTACTGGATGAATCTACCAGTGCTTTAGATGAAGCCAACGAGGTATTACCACGATCTTTCCTAAGACTTTCAAGATTCATTTGTTTTTCTCCCAAGTCCTTTATAGTAAAACCTTTTCAAGATTCATTTGTTTTTCTCCCAAGTCCTTTATAGTAAAACCTTACTACCCGTTTACTGTCATGGAATGGATGCATGCATGCAACATTCAGCCAAATTTCGCACTATGCACACGAACACCTGAAACGAATAATCTGGTCTGTAAAAGTTGATACGCATAGGCTAATGAACTTGTTCCAAGTCTTTTTCAAGTATTGGTGTTGTACCACTCATTAGATATCATATGCATACATTGTCCACGGCCTGCTTCATTTCTTTCCCATGAGGCCTAGAAGCGTAGTTGTTGAATCACTACGAGATAACAGGATATAATTCCAAGTTCTAATGACAATCTCCCGGTTATGCTTTCTGTTGGCAGGCTCATTTATATCAGCAGGTTGAAAAGGCGGGCATAACATATATAAGCGTTGGCCACCGGCGAACTCTGTACGACTTCCACAAGAAGAACTTACTTATATCCACCGTGGATCCCAGCGGCGCCGAACACAATTGGAGCATTGAATCCATCGATCGAGAAGCATCATGCAACTTATGAAACCTATAATTTTAGTTGCCTTTTCTTACATTATGTCACTTGTTTGCTCTCAAATCTGGAAGTTTTTTGCTTTCAGAAACTGCAGAAGATGTATGAAGTTATTTTGATGGTAATGTACTAAATTTTATGCTCTTTTGTGATTTTGTATAAAATCAATAAAAAGTTACAAGATTAACAATATATCAGCCACTTAGTATTACGGTTTAGTGCATTCCTCTTCACTTGTAAGTCAGAGGTTTTAGGTTCGATTCTCGCTACAAGGCGAATTTGAATCAGCTCATTGTTAGGCTTAACCTACCCCTCCCTCTTAATGTAGATAATATCATTTGCTCAAAAAAAAAAAATATATATATATATATCTGTATATAAAGCCGGCAGACCTTTTGAACAATGATTTGTGGCGTCACAAGCTTAACCAAAAATAAGTGGACAAAAATGCCCCTCAAACAAAAAACTTTAAAAGCAGCCCAAAACAATGCATCAAATATGACAGGGGTATTTTCTTCATATAAACAGTGATAAACATTGTTTTTAATATTTAACTATTTACTGTACAATGATAAACAGTGTTTTTAATATTTAACTTTTTCTTGTACAGTGTTTTTTTTATTTTTTATAATTAGTACTCACAATGGGTTTGCAATAATGTAATTCAATCAGTTGTTAATTAAATATTATTTTCTCTATTCTTAATGTAAATTCAATAGAATGTAGATCGAAATTGAAAGAATAATTTTATTATGTGGATTCAACTGCTTTGATTGGTATATGAGAGGTTTCTTCTAGTATGATCTAATATTATTTATTTAAAACGTGTAAGTCGCGCGTAGCACGCCGTAATTTAAAAAATGTCTTCTGCACACACCTGAACACGTGCATGAAGGCTAGTATGTATGTATGTATGTATGTATATGCCTTTAAAATAGATCAATCATATATTGTGATACTTAAATGCCTTTAAAATAAACAAAACTTACAAAATCTGCCACAACAGTTGGCACCCACTCTAACTGACACCCCATTTCTCTCTTTTTTTTTTATTTTTTTTATTTAGGAATAAGTCAATACGGATCAGACACTGCGTTATAGTATCTGTTTCCTAATTCTGTTTTTTACATTCAAATGTAGAAAGTACGTTCCAGTGTTCGTTTCCTAATTTTGTTTTGTTTTTTTTTTCATCACTCACACGCCTCCTACATGTTCTTTTTCACATTTGGATTCAGAAACTACAATGTAGTTTCTGTTTCCAGATTCTGTTTCTTACTTTTGGATTCAGATGCTGCATTGCAGTGTCCGTTTCCTGGTTCTGTTTTTTCCATTACTCACACGTCTCATACCCTTCACACCACATGCGACTCTTGACTTTTCCATTTAGATTCAGACACTGTAATGCAGTGTCCGTTTCCTGGCTCAGTTTTTTAGATTTGGATTTAGACACTCTAATATAGTGCTCGTTTCCTGGTTTTTTTTTTTTTTTTTTTTTTGTCTCAAAGATAGAATTTACTAGATTCTAATTGAAATGTTTACATCTTCCATTAGGATATTAAAAATAAAATATGGGCCAATACAATCCCATAAATGGACATCTCCATACTTAGAGACATAAGAGGCAACAACATGAGCAGCGTGGGCACACTTGAACGTTGCATTTTGGAATGTTTAAGCGAGATTCCAGAGGTCGTGAATGACACCCTACAAAGGTGCATCTGTTCCAGTTTCCTTATTGATCATCAGCACGATCGGCTTTGCATCAGTTTCAATCTCAATTGACTGGATATCTTCCCTTCACGTTCCTATAGCGCTCCCTTCAATGCAGTAGCTTCAGCCATTTCAGCGGAATGGAAGTACAAGTCTCCCATGCAATCCTCCTGCAGAGTGCAGTAGACCGGCAAAGTCCTTTATAACACATCCCACTCCACCTTTATGTGATTGTGGATTCCAAACTGCATCACAATTCACCTTAAGTGTCATAAACACTGGTATTTTCCATCTCACCTCAAATTCCAGTTCATTGACTCCTTCCATTGCATTTGTGGTTGTTGTGCTTCTTTATATTTAGACATTTGGATTCAGACACTACAATGTAGTGTCCGTTTCCTTGAGTTGAGTACACTCCTCCATGTAAAAGAAGGGCACGAGAGAGAATGATAGAATATTCATGTTCTAACTATTATAGTTAAAAGCTATGACATTCATAAAGAGAGAAAGAGAAAGAGAGAGAATAATAGAAGAGTCAAGTTCAAACTATTTTTAATGATTTAAAGCTCATATGGCATTCATCATTGACTTATGCGTAATTAATAAAAATATATCATTGATTAAGTTCAAAACAAAAATATATCATTGATATATAGCTAAATAGTAAGGTTTTTATTGACTTTTAGCTTAATTACATTTTTTTTTAATTAAAAGAGAAGAGAAATTGATTCCTAGTTTTGTTGCTTATCTATCTTTCGGTCCCTTCCTCTCCATCTCCCTTCCACTTCTTCCCTTGAAAAGCGAAAAGTAAGAAAAAAACTTATCGAGTCATTTGATACTTGTGCACATGGCGAGGCAGGATTTTAGTCGAGAAGGGTCTAAAAGTCCCAATCTGAATTACTCTCTTAGCGTACAAAAATAACTTTGTCATGTGGTGAGAAACTGACCACCGTCATTTGGATCTTGTATGGTGTCATCCTCATTATCCTTTTCCTTAAACCTCAAGCCTCTCTAACTTTCTTCTTCTCTCTTTCCATTGATCCGCAGATCAGAGTTCTCAAAGCTTACAAGCAATAGATAGACTGCCTGAACTCCATAAGAGTCACCAACCTCAAATTAAACCAGATGAACGAAGTTAAAGTAAAAACGTTGGTTTTGGATCCTGAGTCTACAAAAACCTTGAAAATCATAAACATAACACAATTTTTTTACATGGAAAAAATGTCAAGATGGGGCCTGGGACTATTCTAGTCCCTTCATGACTACGCATTTGTTTATGCAAAGAAAATGCTAGGTGGGACCTAATTATAATAGCAGGTCCTCAACTCTATTAGAGAGGTGATACAATTGGATCCATCGTGGTCACCTTTGCAAGACGCTATATACAATGAAAGTAGCTTGGGGAATATGCTTCTTGTCTTTTTCTCAATCGTAAATCGTTGTAATAAAAGTATGGTTGGGTTGCGTATGGTTCGGCCAGTAGGCTAGGGCGATACGTTCACATCCTTTGCACTTGAGTTCAATCTCTCCGTAAATGACAGTTATTTCAATTTTCAAGTTACTACTTTGCATCGTTCAATCATTTCCCTTTCTTTTTTGACACTTACTCTTAGAAGGTTTATGAGGCCTTTGAGCTTGTAAACAGACTTGAGAAGACAATACTTGGGAAGACCTTGGACCTTTTTAAAATGAAACCAATGGATGATAAGCCATTGAACCTTATGAACTAAAAGCTTGAGATTACCTTGGAGCTTCTTATTGTGGTTGTGGTTGTGGATTAAGAGTAAGAGAGGTAATACTTGAATTTGAATTGGCCAACTGTACTCAATACAAAACAATAAATAAAAAAAATTACCTTAGTTGTTATAAACTGTAAAAAGCCTACAAAAGCAACAAAACACATTAAAAAAAAAAACAAAGAAAGTTCTTTTACTTGAAATGATTGACTTGCCCAATTCAATCCTTCCATAGAAATTGTGGTCATCATCCTCCAAATTAAATATTTTTTTTATTTGCGGTACAATTGTATTCCAAATGTTCAAAACTGAAACCGTTTCAAAATCGCAAAAACAAAAGTATTCAACCCAATATGGTTTGGTCTATGTTTCGATTTCGGTTCCAAGTGCCCATCCTACTTTGAGATGGTCCTAGCTTGGAAATATGGAACAAGTAACAAGTCATTAGCCAAACTTGTGACACAATTAAACGAGAAAACGTGCAACACAATCCTAGTGACAAGATTGTCAGAAGACTAGTCTAAAGATTACTTTTCTAACCACAGATCCCCACACTATCCAATTGATCTCAAACAAAAAGGAACATGAGAAACTATCACAGGGGAACACAGCTCTTTGGTCTTAATAATTATTCAGATTAAACAAAACATGTTAATTCTTTAAAAACATATATTGAAAACTGAAAATGTTGCCTGTAAACTCTTTTGCCAAGGCCAACACTGTCAATAGTCCTCAGATATATTGAAAGAAAACAAAAAAAAAAAACAAAAGAACAACGAAAGTTCTTTTATTTGAAATGATTAACTTGCCCAATTCAATACTTTCATAGAAATTGTGGTCGTCATCCTTCAAATTAAATTTTTTTTTTATTTACAGTACGATTGTATTAAAATGTTCAAAACTGAAACTGATTCCAAACCGCAAAAACAAAAATGTTCAACCCAATCTGGTTTGGTCTATGTTTCGATTTCGGTTCCAAGTGCCCATACTACTTTGAGATGGTCCTAGCTTGGAAATATGGAACAAGTAACAAGCCATTAGTCAAACTTGTGACAATTAGACGAGAAAACGTGTAACACAATCCTAGTGACAAGATTGTCAATAGACTAGTCTAAAGATTACTTTTCTAAGCACAGATCCCCACACCATCCAATTGATCTCAAACAAAAAGGAACATGAGAAACTATCACCGGGGAACACAGCTCTTTGGTCTTAATAATTATTCAGATTAAACAAAACAAGTTAATTCTTTAAAAACATATATTGAAAACTGAAAATGTTGCCCTTAAACTCTTTTGCCAAGGCCAACACTGTCAATAGTCCTCACATATATTGAAAGAAAACAAAAAAAACAAAGAAGAGTTCCATGGAGCAACATCAAACTTCAAGCCAAATCTTCTTTGGAGTTACCAGCTGTGTCATTCAAAAACTCAAAATCCAGCTTCCTCCCCAAGACAAGCCCTCTAGCACTACGCCATCTACCCATACTCAGCGTCTGTACACATAACCGACACCTACCAAAAGCAGTTCCCGACTTTTCTCTCAAAAGTGGACGCCATTACCGTTGCTATACACACCATTTAGGGAGCCATTGGACGGCTTGAAAGCGTGTCCATTTTGGTGGGCTTTAACCGTCATGTGTCCATTACTCGTCCCATTTGCAACTGGCTTTGGTACATGGCCATTGATTTGTGGGATTGTATTTGGATGCCTGCATGCTGCTGCTATTAGTCCTGTGACAACAAGAAATTAATCCCGTTAGCCAAACTAGACGCAATTTAAAATCAAGCTTCCTGGTCACTGAAAACAGACAATAGTCAATGCTACAACCATTGTGGTTCTCTAACGATGAACCACTGTCGTACAAAAAAAGATAAAGTGAACTCTACACTTCATCCCCAGTGCATCCCCCATGTGCTGAGGGTTGATGTAAAGCACAATTGTCCTCACTGATGGCCAGCTTAGCAACAGAGCAGTCACCAGGACTGACGTACCCAAAATTAAGCATCCAAAGACTTCCACAAAGATGTAATCAAAATGCCACCTAGCCTCTCAAAATTGACCCATGGATGTCTTACTAAATCATCCAGAAAAGTTAATTACATAACAGCGTAACTAACACTTGACAAAAGAAATTTCTCGTTCTTGCAACTTTTTATTGATAGATTACTTGTTTTATGAATGTAATGTGGCCTGACCAAAAAATAGTTCAGAGCAAAGCAGGGGGAGGAAAAGGGAACAAAGAACCAAAAAAATACCTAAGAACAGAGCAGAAGGTTTCCCAGGCCTTGACTTATATTCAGGATGAAACTGAACGCCAACAAAGTATGGATGGGTAGGCAGCTCAACAATCTGCAGTTATTAAATAATTATGTCATAATTACAAGAAATGGAATAAACTAAATTGTTCAGCCACTTGGATTCATATACAGCTATCAACATATACTTACCTCCATGCGCCGACCAGTTTCATCTCTGCCAACAAACGATAAACCAGCATTTTCAAGTTGCGATATCATATCAGGATTGACCTACACATAACACAAAGTCTGTTTCATGAAAAAGAAGACAATTCCTTTTCTTTATCATTGTACGTGGGGTCTGTAGAATGCATGTAAATTACATGTGCTGACGATGAACTAAACTTACCTCATATCTATGTCGATGTCGTTCATCAACAAACGCCACATTACCATACCTAAACATGAACCCAAACCATATTGCTATGTTAGCATGACTTGAGAATGTATAATGGGGGGCTCCATGAAGTTTATAGAAACACATACATCACACATATGTACTGTATATATAAGATGTTAGCTTAAATCAATTCAAAGTGCTCACAGTTTTGCAGATTTGCAGTCAGTAACCTTGAAGTAAGTCCTCCTAGAACCCAGACGCATAGTTCCTCCCATATGAGTTTTTGAACCCTTCCAGTTGAAAAAAGACAGTTTTAGAAAAACTAAAGCCAATTCAAGTATAAAAGTTATATCACCTTCTGAACGAGTATAAAATCGCATACCTCTGGCATAAATATGACACAAGGACTTGTAGTTTCAGAATCAAATTCTGTGCTGTTAGCATCAGCGATACCAAGAACAGATCGTGCAAACTCAATGACAGCAATTTGCATTCCCAGGCATATGCCAAGGTATGGCACTTTGTTTTCGCGAGCATACTTGGCCGCAAGAATTTTCCCTTGCACTCCTCTATCTCCAAACCCTCCTGGAACTAGAACACCATCAGCACCCTGTAATGAAGAGCATTTAGAGGATCAATGAAGGAACTACTACCTGAATATACAGCCATTATAACATTATGAAAAAGGACCATCCAACGCAAAAAAATTATAGAAGGATCACCTTCAATAGATCCCACGCAGCCTTATAAGCCTCAGGGGCCTGCAAACATTAAATTAGTAAATTAATAATATTAAGAAGGGAGCGGACAAAAATGCTATTAGTTGGGAAATGTTCACTACTAAATTTATGGCAATATGGCAAGTTAAAATTAGTGCTAACCTCTTCAGCAGTAACATCTTCAAGGTCACCTGCTGCAACCCAATCTACAAGAAGTTTGCGGCGGCAAGCAACAGAAGCATGTAAAAGAGCCTGGAACAAGAAGCTAAATATTAGAATCTGATCTCATATTTTTATACTATGCAATTAATGTTCTAAGAGGTCTGAAATAAAATAAAAATGAGATTACAAAATGATTTACCTTTAAAACAGAGAGGTAAGCATCTGAAAGACCTGTGTATTTTCCAACCATAGCAATTCTGACCTGTAATGCATATAAACAGTTAAGATCCAGATACTGGTTTTACATGCATAAAAGAAATCAAAATCCAAAATTGAGGAAGTCTTGAAAACTCACAGGATCATGTAAATTGGCAGAAGTTTCTGTCCTGGCTGTCCATTCCCTCAAATTTGGCTCTCTAGCAACACTGTTAATTAAGGGAAGGTTAAAAGGTAGTTTGAAGCAGCACAAAATTGTTACTGGAAGGCCGTGGAATGGGGAGCATCCATGCAGCAAAATAAGAGAGCAAGATATTATATGGAAAACAAATAATTAGTTTGCAAGACAAACCCAAGAAGGTTGAATCCTTTCAAGATTGCTTTGTGCGCATTCTGATCCTATTTGTGACAACAGAAGAACAGAAGATAAGAACACAAAAAAAGAAAAACGAAAAAAAAATCTTGCTGTAAATAAGTACAGCCAAATTTTGTTTCAAGAGCATTACACTTACTCTTAAAAGCAAAGGAATGTGCCAAATGTTTGGAACATCGTAAAGAGTGACAATATTTTCAGCCTGCATAAGGTCGTTTCCTAATTAGTAAATTACAGTTAAAGTCAAGGGAAAAACATTAGCATTCATATTATATCGCTATGGTACCGGCACGTGGCAAAATTGAGCGAGTTTTGCTTTAACGTTATCCTCAAGTGGCTGTCAAAGACAAAGAAAGCAAACTTGAGATTCTGCAACCACAAACTACTAGAGAAAGAGATCAGCAGTGGAAAGCAGAAGACAAGACCTTTGTACTCCTACAAGCTAGAATATTAGGTGTCAAACCCTGTCCTCGGAGTACCCGAACGCTGTGCTGTGTAGGCTTTGTTTTCTACAAATTCAATATTTAAACAAAAAGTTAACTAGAGCAGGTATTTGACTGCAAAATTTAGTCAAAAATACGCATGAGTCATAGACTATGCCTTGGCAGGTTCCATATTAGTGGAACTGATAACTACTATTGACCTGCACAATGTTTATAATACAGCACAATAGACATTGTTTCGATTACCTGTTCACCAACAACATTGAGAACTGGCACAAGACTGACATGAATCAAGCAGAAATTTTCAAGTCCTAATACAAGAAACATTTGCAGAAAGAACACCAGTTAAATAAAAGAGATAACAAATTTAGGTTACATATCCATATCCGTGTGTGTGTGTGTAATACAAAAAACTAAGCTCATCTAGTTCGTGGTCTTACCTACACGATATGAAAACTGGCCAAGGGCCTCAATAAAAGGCATTGATTCGATATCCCCTGCAATATGGGAAGTGAAATGTTAATTAATCTATTTCGATCAGATTGTATTTTAATTATTTAGCAATAGGAAGATACCTCAACCTAAACAACTAACAGATTTTAATGTACCTATAGTTCCGCCCAATTCAATGACACAAACATCAGCTGGACCTTCTTTCCCATCGACAGGTACCATTGCCACACGCTCAATCCACTCTTGGATGGCATCTGTAATGTGTGGAACAACCTAGTGTGACGGGAGAACCAAAGTCAGGTACAACAGGAACAAAAAAATTTCAAATACTGGAAAGGTAAAAAAAACAGAGAGTGTTCATATTAACCTGGACAGTCTTTCCAAGATAATCTCCCTTTCGTTCTCTGTCAATAACAGACTGAAAACAACCAAGAAAATAATAAATGAAGAAAGTGGTTTGGCATGGCTTTACATGATAATTTAGTTATATCAAAACATCAAACATGGCTACACAAAAAGAAAGCAGCAAGTAAAACAACCTGATAAATTTTTCCAGTCGTGATGTTGTTATCGCGGGTCAAAGTCAGATCTAGAAACCGCTCATAGTTTCCGAGGTCCAGGTCCACCTTCAAAAACAAAACAAACCGGTCATGACCAAAGATTCTACCTTAACAACAGAAACCACCAAAACCCACAAAAGTTAAACAAAAGCATGAAATATTAAATCCATTTATCAGGTAATCTACCTCACCACCATCATCTAAGACAAACACCTCCCCATGCTCAAAAGGAGACATTGTCCCTGCATCCGTGTTTAAGTAAGGATCTGCATACGTAGATAAAACTCAACGTAAGCAAATACTGATGCATGAAGAAACACTAAAACTTATATTTCCATGTAAAATAAAAATACAAGTAAATTGTATTAAGGATGTGTGGTAGAATATCCAGTAAGTTTGACACATCACGAGCACGAACACTTCAATATAGGGCTGAGACTGAGGTGAAGTATATCGTGATTGACTAATATAATTTCTCTATCAGAGAAATTGACATCCAAAATAGTATCACATAACTATATTCAAGAAATTAGGGTCTGTTCGGGATTGCTTCTTCAGAAAGCACTTCTAGCATATAAACACGTTGAAATTTTATTAAAGATCAGAAGTGCTGCCCGGAAAATAACTAGGAAGTGCTTCCTAAAAAGCATCTGGCAGGTGCTTTTGCAGAAAGTACTTCTATGATATTAAGCATCTTCAAAAAATGTATGCCTTCTGGCTGTCAGAAAGCTCTTTTATCCCTTCCAGAAGCAATCCCAAACAGGGCCTTATGCTAGTGGAAGAAACTTGTACTGTGACAATGTCGGAATTGATCGAAACGACACCGGTCCTAGTACAATAAAAAAGAACCTTGCAAAATTGTTTTATACACACATCCAAAGGATAAAACAACACGAAAAACTGCTTATTTAAACCAAAACCAGCTGAGAAAACACTATAAAGAGAAAAGTACCAATTTTGATGGATGTAACACGAAGGCCGCAGGCTTGGAGGATCAATCCGATACTACTGGCTGTGACCCCTTTTCCGAGTCCACTAACAACACCACCCGTCACCAATACGTACTTCATTTTGTCTATTTCTGTCAAAAAATTGTATCTTTTTCCACACACAAAAAAGGAACCTCTCTGCTGACTGCTGCTATCAAAATCTGAGAAAACCCAACTCTCTAAGACTGAGACAAACCCATAAAACGCAGAATACATGTAGTAGCAAGAACAAGTAAGACTAGCACTACTTATAAGGCTTATCAGTTATAGCCAGCAAGACCCAGTTGTCTGACAAAACCAAAGAATAATAATTAAATTTTTCAACCAATGAGAGGCTAATCTGCCTAGCTATTAAGGGTACAGGCTAGATAATTAAGGAGGGGTGAAAAAAGAGAGAGAGAAATCAAACCTTGTTAACAATGGCGGTGTTTACAAAGGGCTCTGTCCTCTCCTACGCTTTGCCCTCTGGGATTTGATGTGGGTTCACAAACTATCAGATAAATACTCAACTGGGTATCACCAAAAATCTACACAGCGTATGAAACCAAAGCCAAAACCAGAGAAAACCGCAAAAGCAATGCAACTTTTTCTTTTTTGCTTCTTCTCTTATGCACTTTTTTTCTGTGGAAAAAATGGAAACAGAGGAGAGATTGGTATGGTTATCGTTAGTTTAAACGCGAAAAGGAGGACTTTGGAATACAAGATAGACCCCCAAGGCCTCTCCTTTGTTCTCGTTTCACCAGGCGGCGGGTGGTGGAAACCAAGCGCTTAAGGAGCAAAACGACCTTGGCTTTTAACTTGGGCAAAAAACCCAACTCACCCCAATTCTTAGATTTTTCATTTTCTCTCTTCTAAATAAAATAATTAAATAAAATAAAATAAACCTAGCAGTTATACATTTTAGGGCTTTCAAAGTGCTAATTTGGTATTCTTGTGTTTCTAAAAAAAATTATTTCTGTTATATTGTGAGAATAAATAATTATAAATTAAAGCTGTTAAGTGTTTGGTAAATTTTTTTCTTATATTTTACAAAAGAAAAATAGTATTATAAATTGCTATAAATATATTAAATAACTAAAAAAATATGGCATTTAATATGAATAATAATTGACCATGAGAATAATGTAAAGGTAACGATTGTAATTTTGTAAAATTTGTAGAGGTATAATTACCATTTGAACATTTATTAAATGGCACTAATTACTATACTTTGAAAGAAAGAAAAAAAAGCATAGACCTTGTTTTTGTTTTTCTATGATTTTCTACTATTATTGACAGTAGTTTCTTTTTTTGTTTTACCAAACATTTAATGTTTTAGATTTTTTAATAAGCTTTTTTTTTTAAGCACCACAATTCCAAACCAAGGGTCAGATTGGTATTGTTGTGCTTTAAAAAAATAAAATAATAAAATAAAAAAAAACTTATTCTGCTATGTCGTGTGAATAAATAGCTGTAAAATAAAGTTGATGCATGTTACATCCCACATCAGTCAGGGGAGTGGATCATGTAAGCCTTATATGTATATTATCATCTCTACCTAGCACGAGGCCTTTTGGGAGCTCACTGGCTTTGGGTTCTGTAGGAACTCCGAAGTTAAGCGAGTAGCGCGTGAGAGCAATTCCATGATGGGTGACCCACTAGGAAGTTCTCGTGTGAGTTCCCATAAACAAAACTATGAGGGTGTGGTAGGAGCACAAAGAGGACAATATCATGTTACGATGGAGTCGAGTCCGGGTTGTGGTGGGGATTCGGGCTGGGATGTGACAATTTGGTATCAGAGACAATCCCTTGCCGAAAGTGTGCCGATGAGGACGTCGGGCCCCTAAAGGGGGTGGATTGTTACATCCCACATCGCCCATGGAGTGGATCATGTAAGTCTTATATGTATATTTTCATCTCTACCTAGCATGAGGCCTTTTGGGAGCTCACTGACTTCGGGTTCTGTGGGAACTCTGAAGTTAAGAGAGTAGCGTGCGAGAGCAATCCCATAATGGGCGGCCCACTGGGAAGTTATCGTGTGAATTCTCAGAAACAAAACCGTGAAGGTGTGATAGGGGCCTAAAGCGGATAATATCGTGCTATGGTGGAGTTGAGCCCGGGTTGTGGTGGGGGCCCAGGCGGGGATGTGATAATGCGTATTTGGTAAACTTTTTTTTTTTTTAATTTGTAAAAATGCTTTTAACAAAAAAAAAAAAAAATTAGTGTCTGATTGTTTGATAAACTTTTATATAAATTGTTGTGAATATGTCAAATGAATAAAAAATATATAGTATTTAATATAATGTAATAATTGTCAAAGAGAATAATATAAGGGCAAAGATTGTAATTTTGTAAAATATGTGGAAGTATACTTATCATTTGAAATTTTCTTTAAATGGGCACAAACAATATTTTTTTCAGAAGCATGGTAGACCTTGCTTCTAATTTTCTACTGTCATTGATAGCCTTTTTGAACCTTTTTTGAAAAATCACTTTTTTATTTTATTTTACTAAACATGTTTTATGTTTCAAATTTTTTTAATAAGTTGTTTTTTTTTTTTTTTTAAGCATCGCAATCCCAAACCAGCTCCAATCCTAAAAGGACCCTTGTGGTAATTGTCTCTAATCTCTATTTGCAGGTAGAAGGTATAACGTCCAACTTTATGTGAATGACAAATTCGTTATTAAATTATTTTACTAGTTTTCTCATTGTTGTGATTTAGCCTAAATCTTCAACTTTATGTGAATGACAACTTCAAGCTTTCTCATTGTTGTGATTTAGCCTAAATCTTATATTCACATTAATAAAAACATATTGTCGTATAAAAAATAAACATTTTGTAACCATGTAGGGGAATTGAATTATTCTCACTTCCAATTCTTCCACAATTATTAAGACATAAAAAATAAAAAAATGGAACGAAAGAATAATAATTCTACTTACTTATCACTAAAATAAAATTTGAAATCAGTTCAATGCCAATCAGACCAATTTGATGACTAAAATATTCTTTTCTTAAATAATTTTTGGAGTAATAGTTAATAGTTAATGAGAAAGCTTGAAATTTCGAACATATTGTGAAAGCATGATGTTTAAAACAAATGAATTATTGATGGGTCATCCATGAATTAGAACATTTTGGAGGAGCAATTTAGGCCATCTCCAATCGAATGAGGGCTATAGGGTTAAAAGAAATTAATATTTTAATGAATAGTGCAGGGCTATATTTTTTATCATCTCTAACTGAGGGTCAAAGGGTCATAGGGCTCGTTGTAGCTCTGTCACAAAAAATCATATCTAACTGAAGGTCAAATGGTCATAGGAACAAACATAATTTATCATTTAAAAAAATTAAAAAAAAAATTAACGGCTAGCTGATGTCAGCTAGTTACCATTGGAATTCAAATTTTGGCCCCGCCAGGGGGCGGCTGGCTGGCTGGTTTGGGCCGGCCGGTTGGCCCTTTGGTCCTTTTTTGTCCAATAGGGCCCACGAGCGCTTTGGCTTGACCCTTGGTTAGAGACGGTTTTCGGGCTATTTTCGACCCTCTTGTCCTCTAAATCCTTCGGTTGGAGATGACCTTACCTGCACTTGATATGTCTTAATAGTAATATTTCAAGTTAACAACGCATTGTTACGTGAGAAATTCATAACACATAACAACACATTATCAATTTGCAATACTCCCACAATAGCTCGCCGGTTTAAGTAATCATTCTCTAAATGAAGAGTTGAACTCCTGAAATTTGGTGGCCCCAAATTTTATTTATTTTTATTAGTTATAGTTGCATTGTTATATGTTTTTTTAGTATAGCGATAGTGTTAGTAGGTGAAATAGTTAATAGGGGAAAAAAATGGTTGGGGTTAAATTCACACTAAGGTATATAAACATGATTATTTTCTGTCACTGCTGTAAATCATTATCTACTTAAAAAATTCATTATCATATGGTTGGTGATGAGAAAATTAAGATTTTAATTTTTCACTTTATCATTTTAAATAAAATTACAAATATCTAAAAGTTAAACATTAGGGTTTCAGGAGGAACACTATAATTGGTGGTCACTATAAAGATTTAGGGCTTTGAGGGGAATCAAATCAAGAGGTTAAAGATAAGATAAAAAAGAGCCGAACACTATCACATCTTTTTATTTTGTTTCTTTCTTTTTACCATTTTAGCCATTCATTCACACCAGACAAATTAGGGATTTTAATACTAATTAACACAGAACCATACACGTGGCACTGACCATGTATCTAGGGTTCACTGAGTCACTGACAGTTGCATATGCTGCTGATGGAATTGGATCCTCCTGAGCAGGAGATCAGGATCCTTTTGATCCATTAACACGGATCATTAAATTTTGATGTAACAGTTACAATTATTATAACTTTTAGAGGGGTTCCATGTTTATAGTCGTTGGATCAAAATCCAACGGCTCGTGTTAGTGGGTCAGGAGGATCCTGATCTCCTGCTCAGGAAAGGATCCAATTCCTTCTGTTGATATACACCCCTATAGCAATTAGCAATGAATATGAGAGATTTTTTAATGTTCTAGAAACACGGCACGATACATTAAGTGCAATATTACAATTAGTTGGACATTTAAAATAAAATAAAAAAACTTTAATCAATTATTTTATAACACTTATATACCAAATATGTTCCCAACACACTAAAAATTTTCTCGCCATCCCGTGTGCAGAACGAGTCCCTACTCCTTGTTGAATATGCTCTTTTGCTTAATTAATCTAGATTATCCCTTACTTAGGTTACATCTTAGGTCTTTATCTTAATCCTCCTAATCACTTTTTATTTTTAATATTCCTTTGAGATTTGGCTTTTCCTATTAATCCAAAGCATGCTTTCAGACTGTCCCTAATTTTTAATTTTTTCGTTAGAAAAATTTAAACCCTTGGTTGTTATGTTAGGTTGGATGCGATGAATGATGCTCGAGTGTTATCTAGTCAAATTTTATCCGGTTTTCTTCAACGTATTTTGTCAAATACCTTTAATACTAATAAGTAGCACTCAAGCCTATTCTCCACTTCATTAATATAGATAATATCGTTTTTTCAAAAATAAAAATAAAAATTAGCACTCATTTGTGATGTAAATTGGGTTTTTTTTTTTATATATGGATTTGATATGAATTGTCCATAGAAGGCTGGAGAAATTTTTCCTTTTGGCATTGTTTTTAATTGGAAAGTTTGATTTTAAAAGAAATTGTGGCAAGCAATTTTGCGTAGTTATGTATATATTCACTAGTTTGTGCGTTTTTGCTTTCTTAAAGTTTGTAAATCCACTTGAAGAAACTATGTAATTTGAGGGATTAGTTTTTTTAGACGAGCGATGCCACACCACCGAATTAGAAGATGATGCCCCACTTAAGATAAAGCATCCACAACAAAAATTAGCCTCACATAACATATGAGAGAACGAAACACTTTGAAATTGACAGGCCAACTTTTGGACATTATAGATAAGAGAGAGATCTCAGGGAGAAGATCTATCATTAATGACACCAATAAGGATCTTCAAATCCCCCTCCACCTCCTATCGCAAAAATCCCTTGTCAAACGCAATCTTAAGACCATCCACCAGAGCTTGTCCCTCAACCACAAGAATGTTAGATTTCTCAATTCTCCTAGCAACAACTACTAAAGGAATCCTCACATCATCATGATGACATAAGCACAAGCAGCTCCATTGTCAACAATAACCGATCCATCAAAATTGAGCTTTCTTCACAACGCTATCAAGTAGGGATGGGCAAAATATTCATGGGTTTGGGTAACTACGGTTACCCGC